TCACAACTCAAGAGTAAATATTATAACTTTTATTAATGTACATTGTGTATTTGTTAACAGAGAGAGGGTAATTCTGGTCCTGGCCCTGATTCCTCGCCATTGCGTAGTGTTAAAGATATTGCAGTTGGTTTTAATAGAGACAGTGAACCAGTTCCACCACCTGTACCTAAGAAAATGCATAAAGTAAAAGAAATACGTGTACATGTGTGTATGTACATGTATGTACATGTACATGTACAGTACATATGCTCCACATTAATTTTGTGTATGATTTTATGTGTACATGTACAGTAAGTTTTACTTTTTCTTTCATGCACACTGTACATGTACTTTCTTTTTAGAATAATTTAAAATTATTGTTTATTTAAAGTCTGTTTTGTTTATCCATGTGTGTTGCTACTGGCTTATAATATTATGTACATGTGCATATAAAAGATTTCAATGGTATTATGTCTTACTGTATTGTGTTTGTGTCTGTATCTGTAAATGACTTTTATTGATTGAAGCATTTTTTGTTGCTGTAGCAGCAGTCATCTTTACAGGCTCTAAAGAATGGTGAATCATAGAAAACTGCAATCATCATTATTATTGTTGTTGTTGTTATTATTATTATTATTATTATTATTATTATTATTATTATTAATTAGTGTTTGACTTAATTCATTTTTGTGACACCTTTTTTTAAAAGACGCTTTCTTATAGCTCTCGATTAATTTAAATAAACTATTATTATGATCTCTTCTATCTGTGTATGTGTGCTGCCTTATGTGTAAGTGTGTGTTATCGTTCATTTGCACAAGAAATTATTGTGCTATTAAACAAAGTGCATCTGTTTCAGTCTAGTCTTGTGAGATCATTGCATATGAGTTAAGTCTTAAGAGAAGAATGTGAACAGGCAAGGGCGTAGGGAGAAAAAAAGGAATGGGTAGGCTATGAGCAGAAAAGGGTGCGCGAAGCGCGCCGCGATTTGGCCACGCCCACTTTTACGGCCGCGAACTGGGCATGTTCTCGCAATATGGAGTTTCATTTACTCTAATATCTATGGTTCTCGTAACTGCTTCACACTCAGACTCAGATGAGGACTCAGGCAAGACTCAAGGTAGCAGCCAATCAACAAAATCATCATTCACAAGATCATCATCTTCAATCTCCTCATGCTCAACTTCAGTACAAATAGTCTATATGGCTGGGGTTGACTACTAATATACTCAACTAAAATTTGCATAAAAATTCACAAAGCTTTTGTTTCTTTGCAACTGACATTGTGATGGCTTCACTTAAAGTCAACTTTTTATAATTTTATTAAGCTAGCTAATTAATTAAGTTAATTATGTAAAGACTCCACCTTAATAAAATTATAATAATTGTGCTAAAATGGCTGTTTTTCTTTTCTTTCTCCTGTCTCTGTTTGCCTGTGTCAAAAGTGACTGAGTGAGTAACTGCCAGTTGAGACAGCTACCCTAAACTTCTATAATCTTTGGTCATAAGTGACTTAAGGCAGAAATTCAATATAGGTAAACTACTAAACTTCAATTCTGACTTCTGAACTTCAGGGTAGGCTATAGCCTACCCTAGCCTTATGCTAGCTACGCCCTTGTGAACAGGTAGATGTACATGTAAAAGCTACATTATGTGTTTGTTGTATAGACCGTCTGCAATAGGCGTGGTAATTAGAGTACATTATCAATGATCGTACACCAT